TGCTTGATGACCATCATATCTAATGCATGAATGTGGAAAGAACTCAGTCTTGGTGTATTAGAAACTTTATATCAGTGAATAAAACATGATGATAATTTGCTTGGCAGGATTATAAGCTCATAATTTGCCTAAATGAAATTATAATATAAACTCCCTGTAAAGAGACATGGGTCCCTTTTAAAAGCAAGAATCTGCTGCCCTACTGATCGAAGCTAGTTTTAGTGTGTATCAAAATGCATGCAGTAGCTATGTGGACTTATGTACTAAATTTGTCAGATTTGTGTTGAGTCTATCATCCCCACACAAGTTAATCAACAAGTGGAGCAGAGTTGGGGGAAAACCCCTTTCTCTCTTCCTTTTTTTTTTTTTGTTGTTGTAGGCTACTGTTTTCTGTTTTTCTTCTACTTTTGTTATGTTGACCTGTGTATAGCATTTTGGCCTGCCATGGGTGTTGCTTGGAATGGCTTTGACATTGGAAATCGCGGTATCTGGAATTTGCCTCTGCCCTGAGACAAAATACAATCCCCAAGGATGGGTGGAGTAGAAAAAAGGCAACTGGTAACCTCAGCTCCCAACTGTCTTTCCACACGTGCACTCCCTAGTAGTTTGCATCCAGAATAAATAACTCTTTCCTGCATAGATAAACGTGCAACTCCATGCGGGGAACTGGACGACGACATACCAGCGTTCAGAAAGGATTTATAAGCTGTAACTTCTTGTCTTCTCTCGTCAGTGAGCTATCTACCAATTTTTATTTTTTCCTCTCTGTTCTTGAGGGTTTGAGCAACCCGTGCGCTGGGCTATGCTGAAAGAACAATTTCTGAACTTGCTAGTATGGCAGCACCAGCTTCCTGCCTGACTGCTGGTTTTCTCTTATTTTGTCGTTGAGTCCATTGTGTTCTGCCAGTTCAGAGAGAGCTTTCTACATCTTCTTAATAAAGAGTTCCCATCTTCTTTGTTTTCCACTCTTCAGTATTTCACAGCTTTACCTGCTGGAATTTTACCATCTCGCTGGACCAGTCAAGGCTGAGCTTAGCTGAAGGTTAGCATCGTTGAAGCCTTATAAGAAAAATATCTGCTAGCTACTGACAAGAGGCCTGACTCTACCAGCCTCTGGACCACAACCTCTTCGTAGTTTTGTGGTCTTTATTCGGGATGTCGATGTAACTTACTGTAGTTGAGAGGTCACTGATCTCAACGTCTTGCCACTGATTGTTCTCCTGAATGCTGGCTCTGGTGAATTGGCGATGACGGGCAGCGGGGTTCAGAAAGCTCTTCAACAGCTGTGGTTGTTGCTGAGAGGAGGTGTGTCCGCACCTTCATCGCTGAGCGAGATGATAGGAAAAGGAGAGCATACTCCTACAGTCTCTTGGAAGAGTTGCACAAGATTCCTTTGACAAATAGGAATATTGCAAGTTTAACAGAATAGCTGAAGTTCACAGTGGTATTCATCTTGTGAACTAATGCATGTGCCACGTGCAGGTATTTTACTACTCGTACTGCAACTAGAATTTGTTCTGAGTTAAAACTCCTTTACTGCTGTCCATGATAGATGTAAACCTGCAGTTTGACACACCTCTCCTTCCAGTTGGCCACCCTGAGGAATAACAACTTCCTCTCTCTTGACATAGAGGAAACCCAGCATCTGAAGGCACCAGTTTTCGGCTCTCAGTAGATAGCTTCTTGTTTCAAGGCACTTGATGCTGCATGTGAGCGAATTTTTGTTTTCTTTTCAAGTTTTAGACCTTGGCTGATAAACCTCTTAAGGTCTGCGCTAAGAAGACAATCTGAAGAGAAAGAAAATCCCTGTTTCACAGTCGTACAATATAATGCTTCCAAAAACCAGCAGTTTTATTTTGTGACTTGTAGATGTTGATGGCTTCCGTTGCCTGTTCTGTGGTCCTCTCCTTGGCCTTTGCGTCTGTTTAGGGTTCTGCTATACTCATCAGGGGGCTGTCTGTAGACCCAGCTATAGGCTGCACCTCCTGCCTCAGTCTCTTACTAAGTGATAAGTGTGAGCTTTGTTGTACTGCCTGCCAGAGATAAACTATGTTAATATAGTAATAAAGTGGTTATTTATATTACTGGACATTTATCAGTTGAGAAGATACTTGGCTTGCAATTCTGCTGTCCCTGGTGGATGGAATCTTATGTCAAAATTGAGAAGATACTTGGCTTGCAATTCTGCTATCCCTGGTAGATGGAATCTTATGTCAAAGAGGAGAAAAATAGTGTTTGGGTTTTTTACCCCATTCCTAAAGCAATCAAAGGCATGTTGTTAGTACTGGTTTTGTGCATCTGAGTCTGAGCAAGCTCAGTCAGGGTCCTGTGTTCTTTGTTTATTTTTAAATGATCCTGAAATAGGCACTGTATAGAAATTCCAAATCCATTTTTATATCACTTCTGTAATTCCAGTTATGAGATCTGATACTAAAGATGTGGAGTAATGGTCTATACGCATTCATAAGGACTCATGGGCTGTCCTGTTTTATTCCTATTCTGTCTTGAATTTTAAAAAAGAACATTCAAAGATACTACTGTATAGGAAAAGGATTTGGCATTCACAAGTTATTCTCTTACAGCTGGAAAATGCTGTGCAATGT